AAATATAAGAAATAGCAGTTTTCAGGCACTGGACAACAGGCAGTGCAGGAATGTGATCCCTGAGAGAAGGGAAACAGATGAAGTGAGCCCTATAATTGCCTGCATTTCTGCCTGGAGACATTTTCCAGCCTGAGGTGCAGGGAGGGAGAATCCCAAGCGGACCATGGTAGTCTCACCGAGTTGAGGAGATGGAGATAAGTTTGGGGAGGCACAATTGGCTTTTTGTAGGACAGAGTACAAGAGAGGACAGAGCTAAATGGAGAGAGAGTTTCAGAAATCTGTAAGAGGGGTTGTCCCCATGAGTCTATGGCTGGATACTAAGACACATGAATAGGGTGAAATACTGTACGTCTGGGCAAAGAATGATCCCAAGAACTATAAATCAAATAATTCCCAGAGTTCACATAGAGCTTGAGGATAACTGAGTTCCAATCAGAGCCAGAGAAGCACATGGTTTTATACACTGGGGAAAAAAGAAGGAAAGGGGACAAACAATGCTTATGTTAAAAAGGCAAAAGAAAAAAAAAAAAGACGGATAGATAGCGGAACGGACAGGTATGTGATAAAACAAGCAGAGTAAAATGTTCTTTGGGTTTTTAAAAACTATTTATTTATTTATCTATTTGGCTGCCTTGGGTCTTAGTTGCGGCATACGGGCTCCAGAGTGCACGGGCTTGGTAGTTGCAGAGCGTCAGCTGTAGAGCATGCAGGCTTAGTTGCGCCACAGCATGTGGGACCTTAGTTGCCTGACCAGGGATCAAACCCGCGTCCCCTGCATTGGAAGGCAGATTCTTAACCACTGGACCACCAGGGAAGTCCCCAGAGTAAAATCTAGACAGTAGATATCCATGTGTTGACTGCAAATTAAAGGATTAATACGCGAGTATTATGAAAAACTTTATGCCCATAAATTTCACAACTTACATGAAATGGGCAAAGTCCTTGAGAGACACCATGGTGGTTTAAAAGTATGTCCAACACCATGGTGGTTTAAAAGTACCTCCACTGAAAGGTAGAGCCTAATTCCCCTCCTTTTGATTGTGGGCCTTTGTATTGTTGTGGGTTTTTTTTTAAGATTTTTTTTTTTTGATGGGGACTATTTTTAAAGTCTTTATTGCATTTGTTATAATACTGCTTCTGTTTTATGTTTTGGTTTTTTGGCTGCGAGCCATGTGGTATCTTAGCTACCCAACTGGAGATCAAACCCACACCCCCTGCATTGGAAGGCAAAGTCTTAACCACTGGACCGCCAGGGAAGTCCCTGTATTCTGTTTTAGAATACAAATAGAATATAGTGGAATGGATGGTGTTTGATTTCTGAGACTAGGTCACTAAGGCATCATGGTTTCCTCTTTGCCCTCTCTCTTGGATTGGTCACTTGGCAGGAAACCATGTCTTCAGGACATTCAAGCAACTCTCTAGAGATGCCCATGTGGTTGGAAATTGAGGCCTCCTGCCAGTAATCAGCAGTAAATTGAGATTCCTGATAACAATCAGTGAGGAACTGAGGTCTCCTGCCAAAAGCCATGTGAGTCAGCCACCTTGCAAGCAGAGCCTTCAGCTCTAGTCAAGCTTTCGTATGACTAGAGCCCTAGCTGACATCTTGCCCTATTAGAGATCCTGAGCCAGAACAATCCAGTTAAGGGCTCTTCAATTCCTGAGCCACAGAAACTGTGAGATAATGAATGCTTAGTTTTAAGCTGTTAAATTCTCAGGTAACTTACTATGCAGCAAGAGATAACAAATACAGTCACAAACTACCAAGTCTTACTCAAGAAAACTATACAACCTTTACCTATAATCTACAAAAGAAATCAAACTAGTAGTTAAAACCTTCCAGCAAAGAAAACTCCAGGCTTAGATGGCGTCCTTGAATTCTATCAAACATTAAGAAAAAAAATAATATCAGCTGTTAGTTTAATTGTTGCTCCTTCAATGTCATCTTTTTTTTTTCCCTCTAGCTATCTGATGCTTTTTCCATCATTGGTTATTGGCAGTTTTACAAGAATGTGATTTCATGTGGTTTTCATTTTATTTTCCTGTTTGGGGTTCATGAGGGCTCTTGAATCTGTGGTTTGATGTATTTCGGCAACTTTGTAACGTTCTCATTATCTCTTAAAATATTGCTTGTTTCATTTTCTTTCTCCTCTCTTTCTGGGACACCAATTTCCTATGTTAGATCTTGCTATATCTTCTATGTCTTAATTTCTCTTCTGTATTTTCATTGTTTTGTCTCTTTCTGCATTATTCTGGATATTTTCTTCGAACTTGTGTTTATTCACCAGCTCTCTTCAGCTATGCCTGTTTTATTGTCAAATCCATCCATTAAGATTCTAATTTCAGTCACGTTATTTTTCAGTTCTAGTATTTCCATATTGTTTATGTAATTTTCAGTTCTTTGCCAAAATTCTCATAAGTTTAGTTTGTGTCTGTAAACTCCAATACTTGGAGGTCATGCAGATCTATTTAAATAAAAACTTCTGCTGGTGTTCATTTATATCTCTTGGTGTAGCTACTTTTTACTATGTGCTTTACAATGTACTTACAAAACTGTTTAGATTTTGAGGCCTATTGCATTAATTTTCTATTGCTGCTAACAGTTTTACCACAAACTTAGCATCTTCAAACAACAGACATTTATTATCTCATGGGTTCCGTGGGTTAAGAGTGCAAGCACAGCTCAAAGGGCCTCTGTTTCAGGGTCTTACAAGGCTAAATCAAGGTGTCAGCCTGAGCTGTGATCTCAGCTGAGGTTCCACTATGAAAGGATCCACTTCCAAACTTACATGGTTGCAGTATTCAGTTCCCTGCAGACTGTTGGACCAAGGACCTACTTCTTGCTTTTGGCTAGAGACCACCCTCAGTTGCTTTCCATGTGGCCCTCTCTGAAGGCCAGTTCACAACATGGCAGCTTGCTTCTTTAATATTAGCAAGGGAGCGAGTTCCCTAACAAGATGGGCATAAGGATCTGATGTAATATAATCATATACACATAAATGATACATCCCATCATCTTTGTGGTATTGCATTAATTAGAAGCAAGTCCTAGATCACCTTCTCCACACATACACTTCCCCCCCACACACACAGAGAATATGAGCTTATAGGGATCATGGGGGGTTACGTTAGAGTCTGCCCACCATACTAAGGATATTAACTTCCTCTAAGAGAGTTCAGATTTGCTTTAGTCAAGCACCTGGGAGTTCTAAAAATCTTAGATAACTTCAGTCCAATTTCAGGGATTGAGAGTATTCAAAGGTGAGCTGCCTGTTCAAGCTCCTTCCCTCACATCAACTTTCTGGCCAGCAAGGAGGACAGTGAGAGAGAAGGTTGCACCCTCATTTAAATTTCACTGGCCAATACTTAGTCACAATGCTCCTTCCTAACTGCAAGGAAGGATGAAAAATATAGCTTTTATTTCAGATGGTCATATGCCTGGGAAAAATGGAAAGAAGTAGAGTACAAAATTGAGGTAAGTGCAACTAGTGGACTCTACCAAAGATGGTTAATAGGTAGATTATATTTTTAAATTTATTCCCCAAGAGATTAGTCTTATATTTTACTTTCTTTGGTATTTATTTCCAAAGTATGTCTAGCAGTTACAGATCTTCAAAATAAGCCTAATTCTTAGTTCACATAAGAATACACTACTTCCAAATCAGTTAATTTTAGAGATAGGGATGCAGTATCTATTGCCCAAGTGTTCATTAATTTCATACTTTCCTTTTGAAATGAAATACAAATTAATGTTCTTCAAGTATTTTAAATTTATATCATTATTACAGACTGTAACTCCAGAATGCTGATTTAATCAGTATGTTATTTCTGTTTGGCAATGAAATATTGAGTGATACAATATATAGTTTGTAGGAATACTCAACATTTAAGAAACTGTTTCATATAGGGATATTAGAAAAATATCAGCTGACCTAGAAAGTTGTACAGTACTGTGTTAATTTCTAGGCTCACATGTTTTAGGCATAAATATCCCTTACGTAATAATGTTAGGATTTTCTTTTCCATATAGAAAGCTCCAGAAATAAAAATGTTCAATGTAATTTTATGGGAAAAAAATTGGTACTCTATTTTTTTCCAGGTTGAAAAAGTAAACTTTGTTTTGCTTTAAATTAATAGGTTAGATTATGTTGAAACACTTACTCTTTTTTTAAATTTTATTTATGAAACACTTACTCTTATACATTGATTTCTCTACAAGTTGAGGCCAGTAACAAATTATAAATTATGCAAGCAAAAAAATAATAATACTTTCATTTTTAGTAGTTGTAGATCAAGTAATTTGGACCAGATCTTCTACAGAGTACATCGGGAAAAGCTGATAGCTGAACACAATTTTTAAAATATCTGCTTAAAGACATGAGAGAGCTGACAATAACTGTCGGCTAAGGAAGCACAGAAACTTAGGTAGGTGAGCTTCTTTTCCGTGAAAGGGTTGGCCAATTCTGTAAGTGGTATCTGACATACTGAGTGGCTATCTTGACAGTCTTTCGTGGGACCCAGGTGAAGAGGTATTGGAGTATGAGGCCTGCAGTGATAAACCCTTCCCCTTACTTTGAATAGGATCCCAAAAGGCTGTCCATCATGAGTAAGAGTGATTCAGAAGCAAACAGGCCTTCAAAAGCCTGTTTATGAATATGACCATCTGAAATAAAAGCTATATTTTTCATCCTTCCTTGCAGTTAGGAAGGAGCATTGTGACAATGTATTGGCCAGTGAAATTTAAATGAGGGTGCAACCTTCTCTCTCACTGTCCTCCTTGCTGGCCAGAAAGTTGATGTGAGGGAAGGAGCTTGAACAGCAATCTTGGATCATAAGTTGGAAGTGCTGAGGTTGGTAAAGCAACACAGACACTTTGAGATACTTAACTCTGAAATTCTTTTAAGTGAGAGGGAAAACTTTTTTTCTTTTTTTAAAGCCACTGTTATTTGAGGTTTTAGTTTTATGCTGCTGTATTTAATCTTAACTGATACACATTTCAATTATTGGCATATTACTCCTTTATTAGAAATTGTAAATGAGAAATTATTTCAACACCTGAAGACCAAGATACAACAGAAGACTCCATAGGCTCAAGATTTTGAGACATCTTAGAAAGAGTTTTCTGTAAAGTATATCCTTTCCGTGGCATGACAACATCATTCTTCTTTAAAAAGGTTACTGGACAGACATCGTTTCCGCCATCACCTATATAAACAATTTGTGTATAATTCACTCCTCGTTGTAACTGTTTACCTACAAATTCTACCAAAACTACATTTTTGCAAAGATTTGGGGGGCACCTAGTGCAAGAATGAGCATGATAATTTTCCACAGTGAGATGACCGTCGCTGTCAAAAGCTGCTGGATTTGTAAAGACTTTATCAAACACGTCATGAACATTGCTAGCTTCTAAAACCCAATCTATGAAGACTGAATTTGAATCTGAAATAATGATGCAGTCAAATTTATCCTTGTTCTTTCTTATAAAGTTTAAAAGTTCCACCATCCCTGGAGTGAAAGGCATTGATATTATTGCTCTTTTCATTTCATCTTCTCTTACACCTTTATCTCCCAAATACTTAAAGACTCTGCCCATAAATTCTGTCCAAAATCCTTTTTCATAAGAATCTTGTAGTTCAATAGGAAGCTTTTTCTCTGGAGCACATTGTACAATCCAGGTATCGCTATTATCATCTATGATTGTATTGTCAAAGTCAAAAACCAACAAAATTTTCATGGTTCCAGAAACAGATTTGGGTTACCCTGGAAAAGAAGAAATATTATTCCCTAAACATACTCGGTTCTACATATCTAGCTATAGTATCTATTTAACAAAATTACTCTTAATCTGCTGAAACAAAGGGTGAATATAAACAAGTTAAAATGACTAAGCATTCTAAGACTACCATTTAAGCACTTTTTCCTAAGAAGCAAAGTTCATATTTGAGTATGCTAAATGAATGGAAAACAGAACATATAAAAAGGATACTCAGGGTATTATTGTGTTCCTGAGGGGGTGATTCTTTGAGCACTCAGAATTAAACTAGAGAGCAATCTAATGAGAGAAGTAATGAAAGAATTATTCCCTTACACTTTAATTTAGAAAAGTTATAAAATAAGACAGAAAAAAATGTAGGCTAGTCATTCTTATTGTCTTTAAATTATCAATCACAAACTTATTAGTTTAAAATGTTTACGATGAGCCTCATTTTAAATAATAGGTCATGTACAATACATATTCTCTGTGAACTAACCAAAACTCTGACCAAATTTAACATAATGTGAAATCTTGCAAAATTTAAATAATTTTTTAGAAAAGGTTTTTAGCTTGAAATCATCGTTGTCAGTGTTATAACCAAATGGTTGCTTGATGTTGTACTTGAAAGTCTAAACAAATTACTTGAACTGGAGGTCAGTTAAATTCTTCCACACTAGAAGTAACTTTTGTTAACAATTTTCACATTTATTTATATTTTCTCTAGATAGTTTAGCTCTGGAGTACCAAATAATCTGGATATATGTGAATAATCACACTGCTTTTGATATGACAATTACTCAAGTCTCTGTTTTCATTAATAGATAATGAAGATCATTAACTTAAATCTCAAGAGAAAAGGAATGAATCAACAGATGGTATAAATGAAAATTATCATGTAAAAAAGATAATTATACAGAATTCCCAGGAAAAGCTACAATTAGTGTCTGTAAACAACAACACAAATTTTTTTTAAAGAGTAACTGATATTTTTATAGATACCACTATATGCCAAATACTGGACTAAGAACCTTACAATCTCATCATCTGTCATAAACCCATTTAGTAGGAATTATTATTATCCTCATCTTAAAGATATATAACTGGAGCTTAAGTACTAATTAAGTTGGTTAAGTATTAGTTAAATGGCAGAGCTAGAATTTGGACTCAGGTCTGCCTGACTCCAAAGTTCACGCTTTAGTAATACACTCTAGTGCCTAAGAAATAGAATAATGACTATTAATCAGTTTAAAAATAAAATATTAAGTAGGTCATTTTGACGAAAAGATGTTTAATAACATGAAAACATTCATTAATCTCAAAGTACACACTAACCATCTGTGATCTACTTTACAACCATTCTGAAGTTTTAGCAAGAAATCCTAAAATGAAAAGTGAAGAACCCCACCAATAAGAAAAAGAAGAGATCAATTAAAAATAGAAAACATGGGGGACTTCCCTGGTGGTCCAGTGGTTAAGAATCCACCTTCCAATGCAGGGGATGCAGGTTCGATCCCTGGTCGCGGAGCTAAGATCCCACATGCTGCAGGGCAACTAAGTCCACGCACTGCAACTGCTGAGCACGGGGGCCACAACTAGAGAATGCATGTGCCGCAAACTATAGAGCCCAAGCGCTCTGGAGCCTGCGCACCACAACTAGAGAGCCTGTGCGCCACAACTAGGAGCCCATGTGCTGCAATGAAGATCCCGAGTGCTGCACATAAGACCCGATTGACACAGCCAAAAAAAAAAAAAAAAAAAAGAAAACATGGCATTTATCTACATGTATTCTCTGGTTTATAATGATAGATATCCAGCAGGTAAAACTGAGAATGAGCTCACGACTCATATAAGAGTAAGTATTTTTTGCCTCTCAATTTAGAATATCTGGAGAATAACAAACCTAGAGGATGTATCTCCTGTTGTATGAATTTAGATGGTATAATAGTATAAAGTATTCTGATACCCTGGATCCATGAATTGCTAAATGTCTAATCCAGGTGTCCCTGATTGGCTTCCAGAGATTTAAGTGCAGAAATCACTTTCCCATAGAAACAATGTAATAAATAGCAATAAAGCGCAGTTGACAATCACGTTGGTAATGCACCTAAGCACATTTTAAATTAAAATGCTTTTTAGGCATTCTGAATTTATACATAATTAAAAAAATTTTTTTCAAATGTAACTCATTGTTGGTTGAAAAGTGTTTCAAACCTAGACTTAATCAGCCACAAGTTACTAAAATTCCTTCACTATTAACCTCCAAATAAGCTGTATCATAAGCCTGAAGTTAACAAAGTTCCAACTGTTAACTTAGTTCCACTGTTGACTATTAATTTCTATCTACAAGTGTACTTTTCTTAATTTCAGATCTTTTTCCATTAGTTTTTTCCCACCACTCAACATAAACCTATATTTAAAATACTTACCCAATTTAGTATTTCCAAGACAATTAATCTTACTTCAGCATGGAGCTTAGGTTAAACAGTCATGACAATCTTCAGTTTTAAACACCAGCCAGTTTCTAACCAACATTACTCCTACTCTATATGCAGGGGAAAAAGTCTTCTGATTCCAAGCAAAGGAATGGAGACTTCTTAACTCCTAAAATTAATAAAAGTATTTAAAAATTTACATTTTCTAATATGTTTTCTCTTACATCAGAAAAGCACCTATGGCAATGGGAGGAATAAAATTTTGTTTAAACAAAAACCTTAAATACAAAACAGGGAATGTTATGTGAATATAAACTCTTATTCAGTGGATAAAATCACAGGTGTTAGGCTGATTATGTTAAGATTTCCAGATTCCAGTTTTTCTTTTTACTTATTAAATAATAGACAAATACCACATTCTGTTGTCAATAAACTTTCAAAGATTTAGTGCTGTACTTGAAATAAAAATGTCTCCAAAAATTAAGGATGTGTAGAAAGATTTAGCGAAAGTGAATCTATTTTGAAATCAGTTTGTTAAAATGCCAGAAGCAGTTATTAACTGTTCTCTCCAGAAGCATGAAAAGTATATATTTTGTATGTCTGCAATGTTTCCAGGGTCTAACAATAGCCTATGTGCTTTTTTACAATAATGAAAACTAGAAACTACATAGACATCCAAGAATAGGGGATTGCTTAAATAAGATATGTACATGATAGCCATATAACAGACCATTTATTTAGTGAGTAAAAGGTTAAGATGTTCAAATTAAACAAACAAGTCACAAAACAGTGTTTACAGTATAATCTCATTTTTGCTTTTAAAAAAGAAATGTCTGTATACAGTGGTAGCATCAATTGCAGTGCATTCTTTTCCTACGCTGATTTTGTAATAAAATATTTTCCCCGGGATAATTTAAGCTCTGTTTCAGATCAAAGTGCATATGCTACCTTCTTAATTTCACAACAAAGAAAAAAAAATGAGTGGTGGCCATAGAGGGTAAATAACTAATTCTAGATACACTTGGCTGTAAAGATCCATGGATTAGATGTTGTAAGTCAAATGATACCTGAACACTACGCCAAACTGGCAAATTACTGACACCAAATATTATAAGATTCAATAATTTTTGTAACCAATTTAGTTAAAATTCCACAGAATTTTTGTTAGGAGGTAATCTCCATGGGTCTCTAGTGGCTCTGCATATCTTACAAGGTACTCACTGCCCTTTGCTCTGGATATTGTCTCAAAAATGTATGTAAGGGCTTCCCTGATGGCGCAGTGGTTAAGAATCTGCCTGCCAATGCAGGGGACACAGGTTCCAGCCCTAGTCCTAAGAAGATCCCACATGCTGTGGAGCAGCTAAGCTCATGAGCCACAACTACTGAGCCTGTGCTCTAGGGCCTGTGAGCCACAACTACTGAGCCCACGTGCCACAACTACTGAAGCCCACACACCTAGAGCCCGTGCTCCACAACAAGAGAAGCCACCACAATGAGAAGCCCACGCCCCACAAAGAAGAGTAGGCTGGCTCACTGCAACTAGAGAAAGCTCGCGTGCAGCAACGAAGACCCAATGCAGCCAAAAATAAATAAGTAAAAAAATAAATTTATTTTTAAAAATGCATGTATAGTGAACAGTCTTGAAAGGCATGCTTATTGTCCATTATAATAAAGATCTGGATGTCCTAAGCTCAGGGTTCCTGTCCTGTAATGCAGCACACTCCATGTGCAGGTGACTTCTGGCACTCTTTGCATCATCCTGTGGCAACTGGGGCAAAATTACTGATATTCTGGCTACTGCTACTGCTGTAATTCATCACTGTTCTAGGGGTCTGCATCTTCTACAGAACGGTGGCAGCCTAAGTTATCAGCATGCAAGTAGGGTAAAATCTCTGACTCTTCCCAGTTCTTGACTTTTTTTTTGGCGGTATGCGGGCCTCTCACTGTTGTGGCCTCTCCCGTTGCGGAGCACAGGCTCCGGACGCGCAGGCCCAGAGGCCATGGCTCACGGGCCCAGCCGCTCTGTGGCATGTGGGATCTTCCCGGACCGGGGCATGAACCCGTGTCCCCCGCATCGGCAGGCGGCCTCTCAACCACTGCGCCACCAGGGAAGCCCAACATTTTTAAAACTATGATTTCAAAAAACCACCAATGTTGTATGTGCAAAAACTATATTTCTGCCAACAAATATTTTATTAATCCTTTCATACTTACCAGCATTATTACGATGGATCGATCATCTGATAGAAAACCTGAAGAAAAACAGTACAACTATGTGTTAGAACTTCAGTGATTAAAAATCCTCCTTTCATATTGAGCAACTCCAGTTTGATGCCTAATGTGTGTGTGTCATAGCCAACTACCTTGTAATGTAATCATTTGTACCTCGACGTGTTAGAAAAGGATCTTTTGAAACGTAGCCCATATTCACTCTTAACAGGGTTTTGTGTCCTTAGAGGTCTGATTGGTCCTCCAAATACATTCAATTTACTATACTGTATTTACCGAGCAATTAAAGATATCTTAAAGGCTCTAACATGAATGGTATAATCCAAGTTTTAACATTGCGATTTAAAAAAAAAAACAAAACTAAGCCCCGTCTAGCCCAGATCATGCGTTAGAAACCAAAATATTTAAAAACTGATTTTCTGTCAATTAATCCCTGAGTTTCTATAGTTGAGGGAGGAGGGCTTTGCCGTTCACCTTCCCCCGCGAGGTCTGTGGGTCACACACGCCAAGCCCAGGCCTCGCTCTCCCGCACACCTGCCGGGTACATCCAGAAGCCAGGGGCAGGGACCTAGTCGGGTGTCGTTTCCCGAGAGGCGCACGTTGGATGCCGATGGGAGCACCAGGCCGGGCCCAGCCGGGTCCAGCCGGGTCCCAGGGCTCGTCACTGACCCAGGCCAGAGACCCGCAGCCGTTTTGGCCTCGGCGCCGCTTCCGAGGGCTCTGTCGTCCCGCCCACTCCGGATGCCTGCGCCTGCGGGGTAGGACCGCCCCACTCGCACGCCTGGCCTTGACTTCCCGCGCAGGCGCATCCTCCCTTCTCCGGCACCACAGCCCACAGCTGCGCGTTCTTCGTTCCTCGGCTACGACTGTTGTCACTTCCGGCGGCGTTGCTAAGCAACTGCGCGGTTTAGCGGAAACTTCGGCATCGGAATCGCCTTTCCAAGTCTGAGAGCGCCATGGGTGCCTCAGAGATGCTGGTGCGGCTCAGAAGGCGCTGTGGACGGGCCAAGGAAAGCACGGGTGAGCTAAACTGGTCCATCCCACCACAGGGATTGTTTCTGGTCTCCAGGCATGGAGTGAGAGGCGAGCGTGCCTGTCCTTCTGAAACGGGCTCCACCAAGTCAAAAACAGCACCGTGGGCATCGTCGGGCTCTGTGTAAATTATAGACAGTTTTGCCCTTGGATGAGTGGGTAGGTGGGGAAAGTATACAGAAATAAGGGTAGAGAAAAAGAAGTCAGAGACTCCCAGTTGACCAGCTGGCCCGATACTCAAGCTGTGCCGTTGCCGGTCCAAGAGTCTGGTGTTTGCTGAATTTTCTCGCACTTAAGCTTTGTTATTCATTGAGTGAATCGGAATGTATTTTGGAAATATCAGTGACCTCATTAGAGTCTTGGCTCTGCTGTGAACCTACTGAGTACTCTTAGGAAAGTGTCTGAAGGAAAATCTCAATTTCTTCAACTGTAAAATGATAGTAAGGTCTCATCCTAAGGCGTATACTTTGATAGAGTGTGAAAATAATGCTACTTAAGGTATTGTAATTCACATGACCTTTTATAAAAATTTGATTTTGTAATAGAAGTAGCCTAGTGAGACATTTAAAGATCTCTTTATTAATTCCAGTGATTTTAGTTTCTTAAGATTGTAAATTCCCAATTAATGTTCTCATGGTGACAGAACCTTGGGAACTTGGACTATCTTCATGTCATCTCCTGAACTTCTGTAGCAATAGAATCCCTTGTGCCAAATGCTGAGTGAGAGCCAGCCAGTCTCCCACCAGTGGACACTAGTGGGTATTTATGCTGTGGAGGGCTTAAGAAGTAGCAGCAGAGGGTCATGACATGTAGGAGAGAGACAGTACCCATGTGGCATGTATTGAAAAAACAAAATTATGCTCACGTATTCACTTTCCTATATATAAAGTGCTGCATTAAATCAAAAAGAACAACAGCAAAAATTGTCAAAATCAATTTTTGAGAACTCAGGAAACCAAAAGCTTGCAACAATTGGGGAGTGTTTATCAAGACAAATAACTGAATCTTGGTAAGAACAATGAGGTTTTTTGCATTTTAACTTGTTCTAGTCCCCTTCTTTCTCCCCGCCCTATGGTAGTCTAGAAAACCACTGCGATCACAGTGAAATCCAGTGGCTTAGCAGCCTGTGGAGGGAGCAAAATACCGTTGAACCCCTTCCAAATCCCATTTCCCAGATAACTTATTATTTGAGCTGTCTGGCAGTTCCTTGGAAACTTATTATTTGACCTGTCTGGCAGTTCCTTGGAAAGTCCCACTCGCAAGACTTGTCTTTATTTGACCTGATTCAGAGCTCACCAGTTATGTTTGTTAAAACAATCAGTGGCAATTTTTAAAAGTTTTAATTGCTTCACTTCTCCAACAGCCATTACTAGCATTGTGTGAAGGTCGCTGTGAGGTAGGAATCATGGAAATAAGACTGCCCTCTGAGAACTGAACTCTGCATCAATGGAGTAAAGCATGGATATGTGAAATCATTCATAGCTCGGAGGTCAATCAGGGCTCTCCTGATCCTCAAAGATATGAGGGAACTGGGACTTTCCTGGTGGCGCAGTGGTTAAGAATCCGCCTGCCAATGCAGGGGACATGGGTTTGAGCCCTGGTCCGGAAGACCCCACATGCTGCGGAGTAACTAAGCCCGTGTGCCACAACTACTGAAGCCCGTGTGCCTAGAGCCCGTGCTCCGCAACAAGAGAAGCCACCACAATGAGAAGCCCACATACCGCAACGAAGAGTAGCCCCTGCTCGCCATAGCTAGAGAAAGCCCATGTGCAGCAACGAAGACCCAACGCAGCCAAAAATAAAAAATAAACATATTTATAAGAAAAAAAAAAGATATGAGGGAACTTGGCCCAACTTTTGTTACCTGAGATAGTAAAAAGCCTTTCCCAAACTTTCCATGGATTGTCCTATTTTTCCTGCTGCTTTTGTGGTGGTTCTCTTGGTTCTCCTCCTGTATCAGAGTTCATGAAAAGTTCTTGAATAAAATATCTCATGAATGTAGTTACTCTACAGAAGATTAAGGTGTCATGAAGGATCACATTGTTCACTACACAGCTTTTTGGCATCTTGTTTTCCCGCCACTGCTGCCAAAGCTTGCTCACCACTGTATACTTTGTAAGGAGCAGCTCCTGCCAGTATGGGCTATTTGGTCTACCCAGCCCCTTTAGTATTTTGGAAAATTAAATTGTCTCCATTTTATTTCACATCTTAAAGAATTAGAATGACTCTTGGGTCAGAGAAAGAAAAGCATATTTTTTTTTCATAAATTTATTAATTTATTTTTGGCTGTGTTGGGTCTTTGTTGCTGCGTGTGGGCTTTGTCTAGTTGTGGTGAGCTGGGGCCACTCTTCGTTGCGGTGTGTGGGCTTCTCATTGCAGTGGCTTTTCTTGTTGCAGAGCACAGGCTCTAGGTGCAGGGGCTTCAGTAGTTGTGGCACACGGCCTCAGTAGTTGTGGCTCATGGGCTGTAGAGCGCAGGCTCAGTAGTTGTGGCACACAGGCTCAGCTGCTCTGCAGCATGTGGGATCTTCCCAGACCAGGGCTCGAACCCGTGTCCCCTGCATTGGCAGGCCGGTTCTTAACCACTGCGCCACCAGGGACGTCCAAGAAAAGCATATTAATATGCCTAACAATATGCAAATCCAAAGGCAGGTAGCTTAATTTAATGGCCTTTGTTTATGTAGCTTCTAATTGTAAGTAACACAAACCAAGTTGAGCCAGTTTAGGTGAAGCAAAGGAAAATTGTTACAAGGCTATAAGGATGTATTGGTCAGGACTCTTTGGTTACAAGTGACTGATCTAATTCACTGTAGTTAAAAGGGGAATATTTTGGCTCACATACCTGTGAATTTAGGTATAACTCAATCCAGGACACTATTCTACTTCTCAGCTTTGCTTGTCTTTATTCTGCATGTGGAGACTTGGTATATGGTAGGCAAGATGGTTCCTGTGGTTCTAAACTCACATTTTAGGTTAACAACCAAATTCTCACTCCCATCAACTTTAATTCAAACTCCAAGAAGACTCTAATTGTCCTAGCAGCTTTTCTCTTAGTATCTTTCTGGAGCCACATGATTTCTTGCCTCTGCTTTTCTACTTCTGTTTCATTCTTCTAATAAAAGCAGTAAAAATAATAATAATTAATATTTATTGAGAACATATTGTGTGCCAGGCACTCTTCTAAATTCTTTACATATATTACTTCATCTAATTCTTACACCAGCTATATAAAATGAAGTAGGTACTATTAGTATTTCCATATTGCAATTAAGGGGTTAGATTTAGAGGGTTAAATAATTTTGTCTAGATTCACATAGTTCATATGTGGTATGTTCAGAAAAGGTCCAGGTTGTCTGACTCCAGAGTCCACACTCTTACCCACTGTGCTTTATTGCCTTTGTTAGACCTGTGACCACCCACCATTATTCAAATGTATTTCCTATTTTGGTAAATTCTTCTTACAAGTTCTGCCTCCTTAAAGCAGAAGGCATTTTTTTCTGCCTCCCTTGCAACTAGGGTGCAGGCATAAGACCAAGACTCAGCTGGTCAATTGTATGTGTGCTAGATTTACATTCTGAAGAGAGCGTACGAGGAAAGAAACAGCATGTTGAATACATTTTCTGGGGAGAGTGGCAGCAAAAGTGTACCAATTCCAGAGTACTCGTGAAGGTTCACATATATAGTGTCCAGTGGAGCAAGTTATAAGTGGGGCAAGTTGAGGTGCCTACCCAATGCCAGTTGCTGTGAATCTTCACTGGAACCTCACGATGTGGTCTGTGTGATATTTGTATGTATATCTTCTAAGGGTAACTCTCTGGCTCTCTGAGAGATTCAGTAGGCTATCTAATATCCCTTAATGAATTCCTTTTCTGCTTAAACTAGCTAGAGTGAGTTTGGGTGTTTATAAGTAAGAACTTCAGTTGATTAAAAGGGTAGGAACATTTTTTAGAGAAGAGCTGTTATGAGCTCCATTGTGTCATTTAGGATGCTTGTGGATTCATTTCACTGAATACCCAGCTCAATCATGTTTAAAAATAAGGAAATTTATTTGCTCATATAACAGGAACTCCAGCCTTTGGGTCTGATTAATCTAGCAGCATAATGAAATCCTCATTGCCCCAGGGTCTTCCTTTGTTTCTTCTTTGTGTTTCACAGTTCACAGCTTCATCCTAAGGCTGCTTCCTCTTGTGATCATAGGATGGCTGCTTGTCTGGCCTTCATGCTTCCTCGTTCGTATCTAGCCTGAGAGTCACTCTCAGATGTCTCTCCCAGAAGTACAAGCAAGAACTTTTCTAAAAGTCTCATAACTCTTGTCCTATTTATTTTCTTACTACAGGAATAATTATTGTCAAGGGAGATGCAAGTATTCTTAAATTAATAAGGCCCACCCCGAGACTGAGACTGTAGTCAGTTCTCCAAATTACATTGCTGCTACTCAGTTAGGAAGGGGTTATATAGAGTAGACAAGTGCAATGTCTACAACCCCAAAAGATGAACATTCCCCAAAGTTATCTACTTATAAACTGCTGCTTGATTAACTTTGAAAATGCTTTTATAACAACGTGTTGGGGTAGGTAT